TGCACAAGCCGCATGGAGATAGACAACTTGGGTTTAGGGTGTAGCGTTTAGGGTCTAGGACCCCCGACTGCTCCAGGGGCTTGGGGGCTGTACGAAGCTTTGAGACTCTACATGCCGCAGAGTGGCATTACTGCCGAAACAACTGAAGCAGCCACAAAGCACTCTGCACAAAACATACACCCAAAACTCTAAGGACTTTAGGAGGGACCCCTTATATAGCCAGGTAGTCTCCATATTAACCCCAATAACCTACAAGGGTCCCTATTAAGGGTCCCTCCTAAAGCCCTTAGGAAAACCCCGAAACCCTGCAAGCCCTAAACGGGATCCCGGTCACGGGGAGGTTCATGTGGGTGCTCTTATGGAAAGAAACCCACTCTCCGCAGTCTTCTACTTGGAGGTTCATGGGACTTAATAAGTACAGTTGTAAGTACCTTAATTATACGTATAGTTCCCTTATTTATAACCCTAGTTACTAAGTCCCATGAACCTCTAGGTATGGGGGATCACGTATTTCCAAAAGTAGTAACCTAAGTTTCTCTGTAACCCCACCGCATACATATGAAACCCTCTCCCGTGCCACCCTTTTCAAAACTGTCTAATGCTCTGCACAACCCCTACTTAAAGATTCATGGGACTTAGTAAGTAGGGTTATTCACAAGGTGACTATACTTATAACCCCAATTAGGGTACTTATAACTGTACTTATTAAGTCCCATGAACCTCCAAGTACATAGATCTGGCCGGAAGATGGAAGCCGAAACCCGAAATTTCCACCATCCGGCGCCCCAAAGCCCCAACCTCAATGAAAGGAGGCAGTGGACTCCAGACCCCACACCCAAGCCCGAAACCCCACACCACACACCCATACCCTAAACTCCAAACCTGAAACCCCAAACCTCCCTAGACCCTGAACCCTAAACCCTAAACCCTTAACCCTATTAACTATTAACCCTAAACCCTAAACCCTGAACCCTAAACCCTAAACCCTTAACCCTATTGACCCTAAACCCCAGAATCCCAAGCCCAACCCGAGCCTACTCTGCCTTGCGCTTCCCAGGCTTTGCCGCCGCCGGGCGCTTCAGCTTGGCCTTTCGCTCTCAGCTTTGGATCCCGTGTTCCGGTTAGCGGCTTTATAGGGTTTAATTAGGGGTTTAAGGGTTTAGGGTTTAGGGTTTAGGGTTTAAGGGTTCCGTCAGGGATCCCGGAACTTCAAGAACCCCTTTGCAGCGGTCGTGGCTGTAAGGATTTTCAAGAATTTCCGGGCCTTCGAAGTTGCAAAAGGCTCCTGGCCTACATCATGCAAGGGTGCGGACATTCAAAAATCCCTGTATTGTTGTCGCTCGTTAAGGATGCCTACTATCAGGTATCGGTTCCCATAGTGTTAAGGACACTTACATGATGCGTATGCAGTCCTTTTCAACTTCAACCTTCCCGCTTACTAGGCAAGCGTCCCCTATTAAATATCCCTACTGCTAGGTTCCTTATTGCATGTGGTTGCGGGTCCCAGATCCAGAATCCCCACTAAATTACAGGGCCCACGATTAAGGATTCCTGCTAAGATCCGAAGACGACCCCTGAATCAAGTGACTTGACGCAGCTGCCACATCTTGAAATGATGCTTCGGTGTTGCAGAGAGTCCTGCGTTCTGCGCTGCAGGTCAGGGCCCACGGATAGCGCAGCATTGCCCCTCCACCCTCGCAGGCTTTAAACAACCCTAAACCCTAAACCCTAAACTCTAAACTCTGATCTGATGTTAGGAGATCTCCGGATCCCGGCCTTCGCTTGCAATGAGCGGAGCTGTTCCCGCGGCATAGCATATGCGCCGGAACCTATTCTGCAGTCAACACAAACACAAACAAATGCATATACAAATAATGTGTGTATATATGTATATATGTACTGTTGTGCATATGCTTGTCTGTAGCACTCTGTCTGTGTATGTGTATGTATAACTACGTATAGGTTTAGGTATTGGTGCATGAAGTATGAGCACTCGCTTAAGGATCTATATAGATGCAGGTTTACCTATGCACACACCTTCTGGTAGGTAGGCAAGCAGGTAAGTAGGTAGGTAGGTAGGTAGTGTAGTGTAGTGTAGTGTAGTGTATTGTAGTGTAGTGTAGTGTAGT